ACTGCTAATTCCCGCCAAGAGCAAGAAAAAGGGAGAAGAATTGGCAATAGGTACACACACGCCATGTACTTCCTCCAAATATTTAACCACAAAGGCAGAAATGCTCCCTAAAGATAGCAAAGGAAGTTGTAAAGTGGTTAGATCCGTTCAGCTCTCGGGACCAGGGATCCTGTGTGAGGGCCGGACAGCCGCTAATCTCTTTAATAAGGAGATCCAGAAATAAACACAGAGACTTTTCTTTATATTTCTAAGCAGATCAGAAGGGTAAGCTGGTCTCGTCATTCTATAGATGGACTGACTTCGGGATACTGTAGGCTGCTTCCACGCAATGTAATCAACCCAGGGAAATTTGCAAAAACTCCACATCAAATAATTTTGGTTTGCTGAAACTGTTTTTTCAAAAACGAGAGACTGAAAGGTGTCCCATTTCCACTGGCTTCTGCTTCTCTCCCAGAGAGTGGGGGTGCAGGAGTTCCCTGTGAACCTCAAAGGCAGCGCCCTTCTCCAGACCTTGGCCTTGGAGTTGAATTCTGGGGGGGAAGTGGGAGCCAGACAGTGGAGCTTCTCAGCCTTTGTGAAGCCTAGCCAAGGGACCCCAAACCCATCCTGATACCCCATTTTCTTCCTTTGACACCAACCACAGGGGCTGACCTTAATTTCCTTTTTTTTTTTTTGGTTTAAAGATTTTATCTGACAGACAGAGATCACAAGCAGGCAGAGAGGCAGGCAGAGAGAGAGGGGGAGGCAGGCTCCCTGCTGAGCAGAGAGCCCTATGGGGGGGCTCCATACCAGGAACCTGAGATCATGACCTGAGCTGAAGGCAGAGGCTCAACCCACTGAGCCACCCAGGGGCCCGCTTAATTTCCTTTTGACTGAGCTCATCACTCAGTCGCGACCCCAAGAAAGCAAGCCCCAGGCCAGGCTATGATGCACTCTTCTAAAAGGCTAGCAAACAGCCATTTTCACTTTAATGAGTTTTATTGCTACCCACCCAGGGTAACAAAATCAGTCAAGGTGCTGCTTTTTCTTCTTGATTTGTAAGCAAATTCACTAGATTCTGGTGTGAATTGTTTGTAACAGAGAGCACAATTGTTTTGTTTTTCTCCCATTTGGCTTTTTTGGGCATGTTTTTATTTTATTTTCTGAATTAAGGTTATATACCCACAGTATACCTGACTATACCCTTAGTAATAGACATTCAAAATCTAGAGCCATTTGGGGCTCCGGGGTGGCTTGGTCGTTAAGCATCTGCCTTCAGCTCAGGTCAGGATCCCAGGATCCTGGTTCAAGCCCTACATTCGGCGAGAAGCCTGTTTCTCCCTCTCCCACTCCCCCTGCTCGTGTTGCCTCTCTCGCTGAATCTCTCTCTGTCAAATAAATAAAATTTAGAGCCACCGGGTTGCGATTTAACAGTGGTAGAATCATTAGAAGAAGCCAGGTCTGATACCCCAATCCGCTCTTCAACCCAAGTCACACTGCCTACTCTATGGAAAAAATAAAAAGCATTTCTCATTCACCTCACATGGGCTAGTTCTTTCTGCAAACTGCAACATATTTGCAGAACCAGTCCTTCAGAGCAGTTTTTAAATAAAGGGTATGTTGATACTTATTGTGTGCTAAATTCTAGATGGGCTGCAGCGGTTTAAAACCACGCCCTTATTGCATCCTCCCTCCAGCCCTGGTTATGAACCCTGGAGCCCACTTGGATTTACTCCATCCTCCATCCTCCGCCTTCCAAACGAAGGTGGGGGTGCGATGTTCCTACAGGTGCGTTCAGTTCTAAACACACTGTTTGTAATTTTGAAAGACTTTCCTGTTGTGTTACGGTTAGGTGGCCTGTTCCAGAAATAGAACTGAAGTGTATATTTTTAATGGTCCAAAGACAAATTATCCAACTAAATTGGCAAATTGTATAATTGCAATATATATAAAACTTAAATAAATGATAAAACCCTCATAAATTAAAATAGTTCATTGAGGGCGCCTGGGTGGCTCAGTGGGTTAAGCCTCTGCCTTCGGCTCAGGTCATGATCCCAGGGTCCTGGGATCGCATCAGGCTCTCTGCTCAGTAGGGAGCCTGCTTCCCCCTCTCTATCTCTGCCTGCCTCTCTGCCTGCTTGTGATCTCTCTCTCTGTGTCAAATAAACAAATAAAATCTTTAAAAAAATAAAATAAAATAGTTCATTGAAACAAGTCTTGGAGACAATGCAATTTCTTGAGATTTAAAGTTATCCTGAGTGTGTCGGCAGTTTTGGTAAGCTACTTTGGCCTTTCTCTGCAGATTTTGTACACATAAGTGTTGACCTTATTAAACATACATGTGCCTCATTTTGTGTTCTTTTAGCAACACTGAGAACCTATTGTCTTTGTGATAAAAGGGGAAAATGAACTGCTCGGGTTTGGGGGCTGGTCACTCACAAATGATCAGCTAGTCCTTATCTGGAGCAAAGGGCTCCAGAAATTTCTCTTTGGAGGGGAAACCCCATTCCAGTGCTATTTGGATCCAAATTTCTAAGAAAGACAAGGAGGAAGTGGTGAACTTGGAAGATAGGGCCTGTGTTCGGGTGCTTAGTGATTGAGTAATGAGGACCATGGGGCGGCCGGACTCCAGAAGAAGGTGCGTGTTGCTTGGGTCTAGGGCTGGAGCCCCGCAAAGACCAGCCCCACCCCGCTAGGGATCTTTAATTACTACCCGGCGCAGACCCGCTCAGTACATGGTTGGGAGGAGAGGGTGGCAAACCCAGCCCAGCCCTCCCAGAGCACTTCAACTTGTAAATCCCCCGACCTCAAGCAACAGGCCTTTAGAAAAGGCTAAAACCACGGTCAACCTTGAAAGGTGGAAATTCCCAGTGGGAATTTATGTAAATTTGGCCGGCTACCGAAAAAGAGGCAGATCTTGATTTGGTTATTTTGGGCTTCAGAAAGAAAGCCCCAGTATAGAAGGAAGCCAGTGCGCCCGTGGTCACTGCTCGCTCAGTGCATGGTTGTGTCTTTACTGGAAATCGCGGCCCTCCTGCTTCCCACCCTCCTGATCCCCTCGGAAGCCGGGTTCTGACCCCGCTAAATTCTAGATGGGCCGGCGAAGGGAGCACACCCGCCGGGGTCACCGCCGCGGAGGGTCTCCCCCAGTGCAGCGTAACACCAGGGGCTTACAAGGCCTCGCAGGTCAACCTTGTTCCCCCGCCCCCCCTCCCACCTGCCAGAGTAGTTTTTTTCTTTGAACTTTATTTTATTTTACTTTAAAAGATTTTATTATTTGACATAGACAATGAGAGAGGGAACACAAGCAGGGGGAGTGGGAGAGGGAGAAGCAGGGAGCCAGATGGGGGTCTCGTCCCCTCACCGGGGATCAAGACCCAAGCCAAAGGCAGAGAGACCCAACCACTGAGCGACCCAGGCGCCCCTCTTTGAACCTTATTTTTTCAGTGTTCCAAGATACATTGTTTATGCACCACACCCAGTGCTCCATGCAATCCGCGCCCTCCTTAATACCAACCACCCGGCTCACCCAACCCCCTACCCCCACAAAACCCTCAGTTTGTTTCTGAGTCCGCAGTCTCTCATGGTTCTCTACCCCTCGGATTTCCTCCAACTCCCTTCTCCCAATGTCCTCCGTGTTATTCCTTAGTTTTGACCGTGTTCCCCACTGAGACCCGCAGCGTGCCCTCCCAGGCCAGGGATCCTCAAGCTAGCCCCCGATGGCTTCCTCTGTTCGGTTGCGTCCACCCTTGGGCCCCGGGAGCCTTGCGCCGGCTGGCCCATGGTGGACACGCTGTCACCAGCGGTGGAAAGGGTCAGGAGGGAGAGGGGCAGAGAGAGGGGTGGCTGTGACCCGCGAGGTATCCGCATCCTCCACGCGCAGCCATTGCCACGGGGATTTGGCCCGTCGCACGCTCTCTTCCCCGTGGTCAGGGGCTCCCCGCGGCAAGTCACCCCCAGCAGCGGGACAAGCCGGGAGAGGCCAGGCCCCGGCGGCGGGGCGCTGGGACTGGACCGCGGCAGTCTCCCGCGGCCCGGCTCGGCGTTTGGCAGCCGGCCCCGAGTCAGAGCCCGGTCGCGGCCTCACGCGGTTCTCTGTCTTGACTCCGCAGATGCCGGCACCGTGACATTGGCTAGGAGTGGGGGAGGAGGGCTCCCCTCAGGCTCTGGCCTGGAGCCTTCCATTTTCACCCAACGTCCCCACCTGAGCCCCTCGAGACACCACGTTGGGGGCTCTCTCAGGAGCAACCTGCGAGCCACAGATAGCCCGAGCTCCGCGGGATCGGGGGACCCTGAGGACCGTCCCCTCCGGAAGCTCCCAGTTCAGAGGGTCACGGCCCTCGGCGGAGCCCCGGGCCCCTCGGTGGACTCCGCCTCCTCGGCACCCAGTTGTCCTCCGTGCCTGCCCCCTGCTCCCCGCGACTCCTCGGTCTTAAGCTCGGAGTGGAGTTGGCCTCGGAGCCCAGTATCCCGGGGAGGTGGAAAAACGAGCTCGGCGGCTCCGGTGCCGAGAAATTCTGGCAGTCGCGGCCGGGAGGCCTGACGCCGGGGCGGTGCCGGGCCCCGGGGGTTTGGCGGCTCCCCATGCGGGGAGCAGGCTCAGCTAGCGGCGTCCCCCGACCCCCACCCTCGCCCTCATCCCCTGGGCCGCCGAAGGGGAGGGCGGGGCCGCTCGTCGCCGGAGACACAGGCGCCCGGGTTCTCCGGTTACTGCTTCTAGTTCCCGGCGCGGGCACCGCTCCGCTCCGGGGCAGGGCGGCCGGGTGGGCGGGCCCCGCGGCGCCGAGGACTCGGCTCGGAACTTTTGTCGGGCTTCGGGCGGGGGAACCCGGGGCGCGCGCGCCTCCTCCAGTGCGGCGGCCCCGCCCTCCTCCCCGCCCGGTCCCCGCCCGCGCCCGCCCGCCGCGCCCGGAAAGCCCCAGCGGCTCCTCCCACCCCCGAGGGGGCTTTCTCCAGCCTCCAGTGACTTTAGTCTCCGAGCGCAGCCGCTCGGCGCTCGTTTCCGCCGGGCTGGAGCGCGCGGAGCCCCGCTCATCTGCGGCCGCAGGGGACGAGGGGCGGTGACCCCGGCGCACGCCCCGCGCCCCAGTATCCCGGCCCGCGCCCCGGCCGCCACCATGGTGTTGCTGGCCGGGCCCGGGCCGGAGGGCGGCGGGGCGCGCCGCGTGTCCCCGCAGACGCCGTCCCCACCCCGGGACGCTCAGGCCGGGGAGGACCCTGCCGACTACGAGGAGTACGAGGACTTCTCGTGTCTGCCCGACACCCGCAGCATCGCCTCGGACGACTCCTTCTACCCTGTCGGAGGCGAGGAGGAATACGGCACCGCGAATGCGGAGAGCGTCCCAGAGGGCGTCCCGGAGGAGGCGACCCTCCTGCGCGCCGCCTGCGCCAACGACGTGGGGCTGCTGAGGGCGCTGGTGCGGCGGGGGCTGAGCGCCGAGGAGGTGCAGGAGACCGACCGCAACGGCCGGGTAAGTCGGCTTTCCCGCGGGCTTCGGATCCCCCTCCGCACTCCCCCCCCTCCGCACTCCCCCCCCCCCGTTCCGCGTCGCCCTGGTCCCGGCTCTGTCCGGTCCCGCGGTGACTGTGCCGCTGCCCAGCGCGCGTCTTCGTCGCCGGCTGGGCGTGCGGCGCGTGCGGAGCCCTGGGCGGCCCTGCGTCTCCCGGGCCGGGGTCCCGGTCTGGGCAGTGGCGGGGGTGGGTGGTGCGGAGCGTGGCCCGAGGTCACAGCGCCGCGGGAGACGCCGCTGGTCTCGAGTCTTCACCGCCTCCCTCTCGGTTCCCGCCCCCGGAGTCCTCCTGTCCTTGAATTCCCCCCGCCCCCACCCCCGGGGGCCCGCGCTGGGATCCGGGTTGGAAACCCCTCGGGTCTCTAACAGCTGGGCCCCCTCCGACCGTTATCTTCCTTGCCCGCGGGGACGACGTCCTATCCCGAACCCCAGTTGCCTTCACCTCCCCCCCCGCCCCGCCGCTCACGCTGCCCTTGCCCTTTCTCTTGCACGCCCGGAACGCGGACGGGCTCCTCCAGGCCCCCGGGAGTCGGAGTTTCCTCCCGGATCGCCCGCCCTCCTCCCGCAGCCCCCAGCTCGGCGGCGCCCGGAGGAGAGCGTGGTCTCTGACCTCGCCGCCCGCGTGGTCACTGCCCCGAGCCACGGCCGGTGGGTCCCGGAGCAGGGTCTGGGGGCGCGGCGGTGGAGGCGCAGACCCCCACCCGGTAGGGCAGCGAGGATGGCGGGCGGTGGAGGGAGGCACGAGGGATCCATTAGTCATGTCAGGACTCAGCAGGAAAAATTTTAAAAGGAAAGAAAAAGTTGGCTTTCGAAGACTCGAGAATGCCTGGCTCGCAGAGCAACTCACCAGACACTCGGGGCGGGGGGACACACCGTAGAGGGACCCCAGCGGCCGAGCGCCCGTCCCGTCTGTCTGGGTGGACAGCGGCAGCTGCTCCCCGGAGTGTCACGGTCTCCGGGTCCCGTGGGATCCGCCGCCCCAGCCCCGCACGAGCGGGGAGTGCAGGTGCCTTTCGCTCCGGAACCCGTGGCTGACAGGACGTAGGTGGTTGAACTCGGGAACTCGGGGACCCTGTGCCTTTCGTTTATCTCCGGAGCGGGGTGGTGTGTCTCGGCCTGTGCTTTGGGCCGGGCTTAGTCATGTTGGAGCCTGCCGGGATCGCTTTCTGCTTCCACACTTTGGCGGCTCAACTTGACACAGCATTTGACAGCAGGGAAGGGACTTGTGCTTGGTGTCGTGTGTCCCCGGGGCTGGCCCGGAGGCCTGGTGGTGGTAGGGCCCCCCCCTCCGCCCAGCCTCTTCTTGCCTCTGCCCTCACCGCGGCGGGGGGGGGGGGGGGGCGGCTGCTGGGGCTGTTTCTGCGCTCTGCTTTGGCTTTTGCTAAGGTGAGTTTTCACATGCAGGTGTTGATAGAAAACTTCTCTGGCCCGAAGCAGGTAGAAGGGCCCGCTTTTAAGGAAACCCGGCAAAGATCAGGAAGAACAGGGTGAGGGGGTGGGTAGATTCCGTGTCCTGGGCAGCCTGGGGTCTCCAGGAGGCTGGGATGGGCAGAGGGGGAGCAGTTTGGAGGCTCCGCTGGGCCCTGCTTTAATGATGTTTCCTTTAGGGGAAAAAAAAGTTTGGGGATTGCTGCATTCTAGCCAGCTGAGAATGATATGAACAGACGGTGGCTAGGGGGTTTCTGGGCTACTTTTGAAAGCCACTCCCTCAGTATAGGGTCTGGGGAGGGCAGTGGAACTGGACAGAAGAACAGGTTCCAGCCTCTCTGCCTTGGTTTCCTAGTTGAACCTCCCAGGGTCCTGAGCATGAAACCCACTAATGCACGTGACACTGATAGAGCCCTTGTTAACCATCCCCCCTGTTTTCTTGCCAGCCTCCTCCGGGCTCTGAAGAACACGTCCTCCAGGACTTTTCCCTTCTGCCAGGCAAAGCTCCTTTTCTCTCTGCCTTTCCCCCTTGATTGCATAGTCTCTTTGTTACTCCGTGTAGGGCCTCGTCCTCTCTGCTCCCCACCAAATTATGATGGAGAAATGGTACATGGCTGGCAAAGGGAAGACTCCTGGGCTCTTGTATCTTCCGACCAGAAGGAGCAAGTCCTGTGTTCTGTGCTTTGGTGGGGGCGGGGCGGAGGCCAGAGCTTCTCTTCTTCCAGTGGTTCCTAGATTCTGTTGGCCAAACAGCCTCCATCTTCCTATAAAAACTACAAATAAAATGTTGTAAAGGGCCAATGCGCGACCAGTGGCAAATGGGGCAAAGTGTCATTGCAGACTTATTTCTTGCAGACCTATTGGGTGCTAGGCAATGGTCAGGTAGTGTAGGAGACTGGAGAGAAATCCAACAGTCCTTGCTTTTGAGAGTCGACCTTTTGTTTGAGGCGAGAACTCAGTAATAGTGCTCCAGGAAGACTGCCTGGTGCCTAGAACCCGAGGCAGGGCCCCAGAAGGCAGTCGGGAGAGATGCAGAGCAAGTGTCTTTAAATGCAAGGAGCTCTGACAATCCTGGGAGCCTAGCGAGGAAAGACTTGGGGACTGTGGAAGGAGGACGTTCTGGTCAGCCAACCGAGACAACTGGGTGGTGGCAGACTGTGGTACAGAGAGGAGGGTATGTGGGAGCCACAGCTGGAGAGCTCTACCCGGGTCTGGTGGCAAGAGGCCGGCCCAGAGGAGCTGGCTAAGAAACAGGAGATTGGGAAGTGAACTGGTTTCCTCATGACAGTTCAACCTGGGGGCGGAAGTGTCCTCACTCACTGCCTTCAGGTCCTGTCTCAGGGGTATCTTCGCAGGGTGGGCTTTTGTCTTACCCCAGTCTAGCCTGCAGCACCGCCAGTGGGTGAACACGTTCCACGGGTTCAGGGATTGAGAGTGGTCGAGAGTGGTCGTTTGAGAGAGTAACTGATATTTGACCAAGATATAGAGAAGATAATGCCGGGAAAGTGATCCAAGTAGAGAGATCGGCAAGTGCAAAGGCCCTGAGGCATAAGCCCTTTGGGCCTGATTTATAAGCTTCTCACAATTAGGGATAGTCACAACTTTATAGAAAGCCTTAGCGAGAAGTCTGGTGGAGCAGAGGGTACTTGCTTCATCAACAGAAAGTGCAGCTCACAGGTCCTGCCCACAGCAAGCTTCCTACGAGAAAAATGTCTCTAAAGGCTTTGTAAGGATTTCTGGGTACATTTGTTGAACTAATCGTCTCTGGTCAGTTGAGAAGACAGTTCTGCCTGAGCTGACAGATGTCTCATCCGGTTTGAGTAACTAAGGCTCAGATGTGTCTTGTTTAAGAAAATGTGTTCTTTCCTGGCTCCTGAGATGGGTGGGATCTTGGATGTGGCTCAGCATCCAATTTTCTTCTAAAATATTTATTGCTCTAAAAGGATTGCATGATTTAATATGCAACATGTAAATATTTGTCAGACAGTTCTCTCCAGTAACATTCAAAGTGTGCTCTGGCTTTCATTTAGATTTACGGTCGTTTTGTTCCTTCTGACTTGGGGACGGTGAAAGCTGCCATGATTCTTTTTCTTAATTCTTCTCTTCCTGTTATTATCTCCCGAGATTCCCCTCGATGGCCCTGACAGCTTTGGAGACAGGACTGAAACCAAAAGGACGCATTTGTGCTACTTCCACTGTTGTAGAAAGGCAGTTCGAATGTCAGACAGCTCTTGAACCAAACTAGGTCCAATTACGCTAAATTTAAAATATTGCCCTCTTTTCTTGATGTTGTTCTTCTTGTGCATGGTTAAGTTCCAGGGGCCCCGCCCCCCCCAGGTGCTCTCTAGGCTCAGCCCAAGCCCACGCCACACACCCAGCTTGGGGGTGTCTCTCTTTACTTGTGGGGGGTGGTGCTTTATGTTTTATAGATTTGTAGCAGTGACCGTGACCTTTATCCTGACACACACAAGAAAAAAAAATTGGTGTTTGGTGTTTGTTTTTGTTTTTTCAAATGCCCCAGGAGGGCTGATAAACTTTGGAATCCCCTTTCCCTAAAATGAGAATCGACACCCAGCCAGCCCGTTGCCTTCCCCAGGCCTCAGGCTTCGTGCACTGTGTGTACTTAAAATGGGGCTAGAAGTGGTGATCAGAAGTGAATTCTGGTCTCTGTAGATCTGAGGGCGATCAAGCCTGGGGAGCTTCTGGTCAGGGAGCTTGACTCCGCTCCTTGGGGATGTATGTTAGTGTGTTATTTCTTTTTTTTTTTTTTTTTAAAGATTTTATTTATTTATTTGACAGAGAGAGATCACAAGCAGGCAGAGAGGCAGGCAGAGGGAGAGAGAGGAGGAAGCAGGCTCCCCGCCGAGCAGAGAGCCCGATGCGGGGCTCGATCCCAGGACTCCGAGATCATGACCTGAGCCGAAGGCAGCGGCTTAACCCACTGAGCCACCCAGGCGCCCCGTTAGTGTGTTATTTCTGATGTGTCGGGGAGGGATGAGGAAGTGAGAATGAGCGGATTAGACGGGAGCCCAGGGGGCGGGAGTGGAGAAGGTGGTCAACGGAAGCCCAAGCCGATAGGCCAGGTGCCAGATGTCTGTCTGCTTCTTCCTCCCCATGGACCATGGGTGGGGCGTGGGGGGCGGTGGGCGTAGGGGCATCCCTCTGGGCCCAGCAGCGGTAGAGAGGCCCATGCATTTTTTTTTTAAAGGACTTAATTTTTAAAAAATATTTTACTTATTTATTTGACAGAGATCACAAGTAGGCAGAGAGGCAGGTCGGCAGAGGGAAAGAGGGGGGAAGCAGGCTCCCTGCTGAGCAGAGAGCCCGGTGCGGGGCTCGATCCCAGGACCCTGAGATCATGACCTGAGCCGAAGGCAGAGGCTTAACCCACTGAGCCACCCAGGTGCCCTAAAGGTCTTAATTTTTTAAGGACAGTTTGAGATTCACGGCGAAGTGGAGAGTAATGTACAGAGATTCCTATCTACCTCCTGCCCCAACAGGTGCACAGGCTCCCCCGTGGCCCTCATGTGCAA